GTGGCATTTTCAATTTTTATTCAACCTTTACTTTTTTATGCACGACTGTTGTACTTGTTTTTGTCATGAAGTGAGAAACTTCAACTTCCCTGACCATGGTCCTGAAATGCTGCGAGGCGGTCATTTTCGTCATGGATTCTGATACGTCTTTTTACAGCAGTCTTTTTCTTTCTTCTTGTTTTTTTAAACTGCAGTTTGTCTGTCTATCCTCTTTTTCACATTTAAATGATTCAAGCTTTCATTAGTTTTCAGGTCCTTGGTATCTGAATAATTGTATTTTATATATTTCTCCCTGTATCTCTGATCAATGGACATGCGGATGGGGCCTGATCAAAACACTGAGGGAACAATAAATTTGTTTACATTTTTTAATTAAATCGTATTTACAATAACTCATTAAATCATTTTATCTCTTAGATGTTTGTATCATAATAGACATTTGCTAGTTCTATATTGCAGTACTTTGTTCGGTAAATTGCTTGTCTTATACATTTCTGACAGAGAAAAATGGTTATTAATTTTACATTTTCTGTAGTTCATCAGACTGGACTCATAGTGCCGCTGTTGGTCAATATGTCAGTTTAGAGAGCAGATCTGCTGCAGTTCCACCCCCATCATCACCATATTATTAGAGACTTTCTATCTGGTCTTGGCCTTGGCTGTAGTTTCGTTTCTCTTTATCGTGTCTATCATCGCCATACTGTCAGTCAAATGCTACAGATGGAGACGCGAGCGGATGTTTTACAAATCTGGAGCGAATCTTCCAGTTATTCCATATTATCCGCCTCTTTACGCAGACGTAGGGGGCACAGGAACTTTACAGCACGTGTACAATTATGAGGTTTGCAGAACCACTGACTCCAGAAAGAGTGATCTGAAATACGACAGACCTTGCAGTGAAAGCGTCATTAGTCTGGACAGCAGTGGAACACAGACACTCACGCATGCGCAAAGGGAGAGAATGAACTTTGACGATTGTGACGATCAGGTGAGAAATATTTTTTTACAGCCAATATTATATTTTAAAAATATGTTTCTAATAATTATTAATTTTTGCTTCAGCTGTTGTTGACACGTCACTGATTATTTGTCTGAAATAAATAGTTTCTGCAATTTTAAGTTGACTATTAAATAATTGGGTATTTTGATATATTATAGTCTGGTCAGTTTTTATAGTTGTATATGTTCTGCATTTCTAGTATAGTCAAATTATTAGTCTATTTTTTATTTGTATCTCTTTTTGTACAGGTAAGAAAAAAATACTTTCTTTTATTTTTTATTTTTACATTTTTTTAATGCGTTAAGTAGAAGTTTTTGTTTTGTTTTTTGTACATTATGGTTATTTATTTATTTATTTATTTTTATTTGAAGTCCGAGGTAATATGGCACATTGTCACTGATACATATGCTAGCGATTTAACATGCTGTGGCATTTTCAATTTTTATTCAACCTTTACTTTTTTATGCACGACTGTTGTACTTGTTTTTGTCATGAAGTGAGAAACTTCAACTTCCCTGACCATGGTCCTGAAATGCTGCGAGGCGGTCATTTTCGTCATGGATTCTGATACGTCTTTTTACAGCAGTCTTTTTCTTTCTTCTTGTTTTTTTAAACTGCAGTTTGTCTGTCTATCCTCTTTTTCACATTTAAATGATTCAAGCTTTCATTAGTTTTCAGGTCCTTGGTATCTGAATAATTGTATTTTATATATTTCTCCCTGTATCTCTGATCAATGGACATGCGGATGGGGCCTGATCAAAACACTGAGGGAACAATAAATTTGTTTACATTTTTTAATTAAATCGTATTTACAATAACTCATTAAATCATTTTATCTCTTAGATGTTTGTATCATAATAGACATTTGCTAGTTCTATATTGCAGTACTTTGTTCGGTAAATTGCTTGTCTTATACATTTCTGACAGAGAAAAATGGTTATTAATTTTACATTTTCTGTAGTTCATCAGACTGGACTCATAGTGCCGCTGTTGGTCAATATGTCAGTTTAGAGAGCAGATCTGCTGCAGTTCCACCCCCATCATCACCATATTATTAGAGAGAGACAGAAGCTGAGAGCACAGTCTGCGAAGGAGAGAGAAGACAAATCACAGAGATACAGTATTTAGTATCCTTGTCTTTGATTTACAGACTTTTTTGTTAGTTCTCTTCACTTTGGAGTTACACATAATTTCCTCCAGCTTTTTGGATTGTTTTATTTGCTTTCTGTCTTAATCTTCTCTTCTATGGTCTTCTGCAAAATGTCGGACAGAACAATGGCGCGGCAAGTACTGCTGTTTATTTGGTTTCTCTCTCTCAGTTCGGCTCTCGGGCAGGTTAGTTACTCCATTCCTGAGGAAATGGCCAAAGGCTCTTTAGTCGGGAACATAGCGCAGGATTTGGGTTTAGATTTAAAGAGACTGAAATCGGGTAAAGCGCGTATTTTTACAGGAGACAGCGCTGAATACATCGAGCTGAATAAAGAAAGAGGAGTCCTCCTTATCAAAGAGAGAATAGACCGAGAGGCGCTTTGCGGACAGACAACGCCTTGCGCGCTACATTTTCAGATTATTCTTGAAAACCCAATGGAATTTTACTCAGTTACAATCGAAGTTACAGATATAAATGACCATTCGCCATCTTTTAAACGAGCTGAGATGAAATTCAGAATTAGTGAGTCAGCTGCAACTGGGGCAGTTTTTGTTTTAGAGAGAGCGATGGATTTAGACGTCGGAATAAACGGCCTTCAGACTTATATAATAAAGCCTACTGATAATTTTTCTTTAAAATTGCAAAGTCAGGGAGACGGTAGTAAGCTAGTAGAAATGGTTCTTCTAAAACCTCTCGATCGTGAAAAGCAAGACCATTTGTCTTTGGTTCTGACAGCGATAGATGGAGGTGATCCACAATTGTCTGGTACTGCACAGATACTTATTACTGTTTTAGATGCTAACGATAATGCGCCTGTTTTTACTCATAAAACATATAAAGCGAGTATCACCGAGAATGCTTTTAAAGACACAGTTGTGACGATTGTGAGCGCTTCTGATTTGGATGAGGGATCTTACGGCAAAATTACGTATGCTATTACAAATACCCTCGACAATGTTCCGGAGTTGTTTGAAATTAACGAAACAAACGGTGAGATGAGAGTAACGGGCAATATAGATTACGAGAAAGCTAGCCACTATCAAATTCATGTGCAGGCCAGCGATGACGGTGGTCTGACTGATTCTTGTAAAATCGATGTGGATGTGATTGATATAAATGACAATAAACCACAGATCAACATAATGTCTAAATTAACCACAATATCAGAAAACTCTAATCCTGGAACTGTTGTAACAATGATAAACGCACAAGACCCAGATGCAGAAGAAAACGGTAAAATTGTGTGTTCAGTTAATGAGAACATTCCCTTTACTCTGAAGTCGACAAATACCAATTTCCCCTCTCGATCAGCTACAGTCAATGTTAACGTGGCGGTGGCGGACAGCTTCCCTGAAGTGCTCTCGGAGTTCACTGACTTTACGCACGACAAGGACTACAACGACAACCTGACTTTCTATCTGGTCTTGGCCTTGGCTGTAGTTTCGTTTCTCTTTATCGTGTCTATTATCGCCATACTGTCAGTCAAATGCTACAGATGGAGACGCGAGCGGATGTTTTACAAATCTGGAGCGAATCTTCCAGTTATTCCGTATTATCCGCCTCTTTACGCAGACGTAGGGGGCACAGGAACTTTACAGCACGTGTACAATTATGAGGTTTGCAGAACCACTGACTCCAGAAAGAGTGATCTGAAATATGGCAGACCTTGCAGTGAGAGCATCATTAGTCTGGACAGCAGCGGAACACAAACACTCACGCATGCGCAAAGGGAGACACTGAACTTTGATGATTGTGATAAGGTGAGAAATATTTTTACAGTTAATTTATATTGATATTTTAAAACGTTGTTCCTCATAATTAATCATTTTTGCTTTAGCTTTTGACAGTATCGCTGATTCATTTTCTTTTTCTTTGTGAGCAGTTGACAATTAAATAATGGTTGGTTTTGATGATGTTATAGTTTAGTCAGTTTTAATTGTTGTGTATTTTCTGCATTTCTATTACTCAAATAATTGTTCTCTGTTTTTATTCGTATCACATTTTGTACAGTCAAAAAAAATAGAAAGAAAAATGTTATGAATTATGTAGAAGTTGGTTTTTAAAAAAATATATATTAGTTTTTCTTTTAGTATTTGTTTATTTAGTTTAATTTTAGGTCCGAGGTAATGCACTGTCACTGATTCATAGGCTAGCGATTTAACATGCGGTGGCATTTTTAATTCCTATTTGACCTCAACTTTTTTTTCTGCACGACTGTTGTACTTGTCATGAAATTAGAAACTTCAGCTTCCCTGTCCATGGTCCTGAAATGCAGCGAGGCGGTAATTTTCCTCATGTATTCTGATGCATCGCCACAGCACCGTGCTTTTTGAGAATTTTTGTCTGCAGTTTCTCTGTTTGTTCTGTCCTCCTGTTCACGGTTAAAGGATACAACATTTAATTAGGTTTCAGATGCTTGGTATGTGTTCAATTATATTTCAGATTTTTCTCCCTGACTCTCTGATGAATGGACACGCGGATAGGACCTGATCAAAACACTGAGGGAACGAGAAATTTATTTGTTTCGGGGTTTTTTTCTTTAAATCTTATTTACAAAAACTCATACAATCATGTTATCTCTTAGATGTTTGTAGTATAATGCACATTTGCTAGTTTTTTTTTTTTTTTTACTTGAGTACTTTATTCAGTAACTTGCTTTTCTTAGATATGTCTAACACAGAGATTAAGGTTTATTCGTTTTTAATTTTCTGTAGTTCATCAGACTGGACTCATAGTGCCGCTGTTGGTCAATATGTCAGTTTAGAGAGCAGCTCTGCTGCAGTTCCACCCCCATCATCACCATATTATTAGAGACAGACAGAATCTGACTTCACAGTCTGAGGAGGAGGAGAGAAGACTGATCACGAAGATACTGTATTTACTATCCTTTTCTTTAAATTACTGACTTTTTTGTTAGTTTTCGTCACTTTGGATATACACGATTTTCTCCAGCTTTTTGGATTTATTTATTTGCTTTCTACCTTAATCTTCCTTCCGTGGTCTTCTGCAAAATGTCGGACAGGACAATGGCGCGGCAAGTACTGCTGTATATTTGGTTTCTCTCTCTCAGTTCTGCTCTCGGGCAGGTCAGTTACTCCATTCATGAGGAAATGGCGAAAGGCTCTTTAGTCGGGAACATTGCGCAGGATTTGGGTTTAGATTTAAAGAGACTGAAATCGGGTAAAGCGCGTATTTATACTGGAGACAGCGCTGAATACATCGAGCTGAATAAAGAAAGAGGAGTCCTCCTTATCAAAGAGAGAATAGACCGAGAGGCGCTATGCGGACAGACAACGCCTTGCGCGCTACATTTTCAGATTATTCTAGAAAACCCAATGGAATTTTTTAGAGTTACAATTGAAATAACAGATATTAATGACAATTTTCCCAGTTTTAAAAAGAGTACGATTATTTTTAGAATCAGCGAATCAGTTATTTTAGGGTCTAAATTTATGTTAGAGCCTGCAATAGATCTCGATGTGGGAATCAACGGCCTTCAAAGCTATACGCTAAAACCCACTCATAATTTTAATCTTAAATTTAAAAATCAACAGGGAGACGGGGAAAATGTTGAATTGGTTCTACAAAAGCCTTTAGATCGTGAAAAACAGCATGATATAAAATTAGTGCTCACAGCTATTGATGGAGGAGATCCTCAGTTGTCTGGCAGCATAGAGATTCACATTACGGTTTTAGACGCAAACGACAATGCTCCTGTCTTCTTGCAATCAATTTATAAAGCGACTGTGACAGAGAATGCGCCAAAAGACACTATAGTGTCACAAGTGAGCGCAACTGATGCAGATGAGGGTGTAAATAATAAAGTAGAGTATTCTATTGCAAACATGCAAGATGATGATCAACAGTTATTTGAAATAGATAAAGACAGTGGCCAAGTTACGGCGGTCGGAATAATAGACTTTGAAAAAGCTCGCAATTATGAGCTACGCGTTCAAGCGAGTGATCACGGTGGTCTGACTGATTCTTGTAAAATCATAGTTGATGTAATTGATATCAATGACAATAAACCAGTGATCAATATTATGTCAAAAACAAACGTGATAGCTGAAAATTCCGCGTCTGAGACGGTGGTAACGATGATAAATGTTCAGGATCTTGATTCGGGAGAAAACGGGAAAGTTCAATGTTCAGTTAATGAGAACATTCCTTTCACCTTGAAGTCGTCAAATGTAAATTTCTTCAGTTTAGTCACAGACGGTGATTTAGACAGAGAGCGCGAGTCTGAGTATAACATCAGTGTGACGTGCGCTGATGAGGGCGTGCCCTCTCTCTCCAGCAGCGTCACTCTCTCCTTACAGATATCAGATGTGAATGATAACGTGCCTGTCTTTGACAAGAGCTCATATGAGGCCTCTGTACAAGAAAACAACACACCGGGTCTTTCAATATTCACAGTCAGAGCCAGAGACGCAGATTTTAACCAGAATGCCCGTGTGTCTTACATACTGGAGGACTCGTCGGTTAACGGAGTGCCCGTCTCCTCGTTAGTGTCCGTTAGTGCTGATAGTGGAGTCATACACGCTGTGCGATCTTTCGATTACGAGCAGATCAAAGATTTCCAGTTCCGCGTAAAAGCGCAGGACGGAGGCTCTCCTCCTCTCAGCAGCAACGTGAGTGTGAAAATAATAATTCAGGACCAGAATGACAATGCGCCTCAGGTTCTGTATCCGGTCCAGTCAGGCGCTTCTGTGGTGGCTGAAATGGTGCCTCGTTCTGCAGATGTGGGTTATCTGGTGACTAAAGTGGTGGCTGTTGATGTGGACTCTGGACAGAATGCCTGGCTGTCATATAAACTGCAGAAAGCAACAGACAGGTCACTGTTTGAAGTGGGCTTACAGAATGGAGAATTAAGAACTGTGCGCCAAGTGACAGATAAAGATGCTGTGAAACAAAGACTCACTGTTGTAGTGGAGGACAACGGGCAACCCTCTCGATCAGCTACAGTCAATGTTAACGTGGCGGTGGCGGACAGCTTCCCTGAAGAGTTCACTGACTTTCCGCACAAGGACTACAACGACAACCTGACTTTCTATCTGGTCTTGGCCTTGGCTGTAGTTTCGTTTCTTTTTATCGTGTCTATCATCGCCATACTGTCAGTCAAATGCTACAGATGGAGACGCGAGCGGATGTTTTACAAATCTGGAGCGAATCTTCCAGTTATTCCGTATTATCCGCCTCTTTACGCAGACGTAGGGGGCACAGGAACTTTACAGCACGTGTACAATTATGAGGTTTGCAGAACCACTGACTCCAGAAAGAGTGATCTGAAATACGGCAGACCTTGCAGTGAAAGCTTCATTAGTCTGGACAGCAGTGGAACACAGACACTCTCGCATGTGTAAAGAGGAAAACTGATCAATGAAGACTTTGATCAGGTGAGATTTTTTTATTTACAGTTTGTGTAGCAGCGTACAACACTTTTGACTGCAAAAGCATTCAATCCGTTCATACATCTTAAATATTTCCAATTTTGCATACAATAACAATCTAGTTGCTGCTCACTTAATTAGACTTTTATTTTTATGATGGCATCGTAGCTGTAGAATGAAGTATTTCCCTGCTATTTATTTTCTTGTGTTAATGTTCCTTTTTTAATGTGAGGTGTATTTGCAATAGTTATATGATTCAAGTATTTTATCGGTTTTTAAATAAAATGAATATTCTCGTGTTGCTACTTTAAGACCATTTCCATTCTTTGGAAGGTGTTTCTGCTGTAATGTTAAGTGGTTTTATCTGCCTTATCCATATTTTACAGTTGTAAAATTACAATGCGTTTTTGAAGACTGTTTAGAGTACCTTTCTTATATGCTTGTGAACACCAGCAGAACTCAAATTCATGGTAACTGGCCGTGGTGCTGAAAGGTTCAGGCTTGGGGGTTTTTTGCTTAGTTTTTTCCTTTACCTCCGTTTGTTGAAGCATATAATGTAGAACTTCTACGTCCTTCCAGTCTCTCAATACGTTTAGAATTTAAAAGTCTCGTATTGGTTCATATTAATATATTTCACGTTTCTCTCTATTATTCCGTTAAGAGGCACACCTAAGTTTGTGCTAATTCAATATCTAATCCTTTTCATTTTATTTTATTTTATTTTGTTTATTATTATTATTATTATTATATTTTTACTTTTAGAATTTGTTTATGGGAAATCATGCAATCATAGCTAATTTTTTAGATAATTTTATTTTGATTGACAATCGCAGCGGCAGTATTTTAATTATTATTGCAATGTGGAATAATTCTAAAACGTGTCTCGTAGTGTAGAAAAAAACTGCTTCTATTTGGTCATTATGTAGTTCATCAGACTGGACTCTTAGTGCCGCTGTTGGTCAATATGTCAGTTTAGAGAGCAAATCTGCTGCAGTTCCACCCCCATCATCACCATATTATTAGAGAGAGACAGAAGCTGAGAGCACAGTCTGAGGAGGAGAGAGAAGACTGATCACGGAGATACTGTGTTTATAATCCTTTTTCTGGAATTACAGACACTTTTGTTAGTTCTTATAGCTTTGGATATATATATACATCATTTCCTCCAGCTTCTTGGATTGATTTATTTGTTTTCTGCTTGAATCTTCATTCCGTGGTCTTCTGCAAAATGTCGGACAGAACAATGGCGCGGCAAGTATTGCTGCTTATTTGGTTTCTCTCTCTCAGTTCTGCTCTCGGGCAGGTCAGTTACTCCATTCCTGAGGACAACGGGCAACCCTCTCGATCAGCTACAGTCAATGTTAACGTGGCGGTGGCGGACAGCTTCCCTGAAGAGTTCACTGACTTTCCGCACAAGGACTACAACGACAACCTGACTTTCTATCTGGTCTTGGCCTTGGCTGTAGTTTCGTTTCTTTTTATCGTGTCTATCATCGCCATACTGTCAGTCAAATGCTACAGATGGAGACGCGAGCGGATGTTTTACAAATCTGGAGCGAATCTTCCAGTTATTCCGTATTATCCGCCTCTTTACGCAGACGTAGGGGGCACAGGAACTTTACAGCACGTGTACAATTATGAGGTTTGCAGAACCACTGACTCCAGAAAGAGTGATCTGAAATACGGCAGACCTTGCAGTGAAAGCGTCATTAGTCTGGACAGCAGTGGAACACAGACACTCACGCATGCGCAAAGAGGAAAACTGATCAATGAAGACTTTGATCAGGTGAGATTTTTTTATTTACAGTTTGTGTAGCAGCGTACAACACTTTTGACTGCAAAAGCATTCAATCCGTTCATACATCTTAAATATTTCCAATTTTGCATACAATAACAATCTAGTTGCTGCTCACTTAATTAGACTTTTATTTTTATGATGGCATCGTAGCTGTAGAATGAAGTATTTCCCTGCTATTTATTTTCTTGTGTTAATGTTCCTTTTTTAATGTGAGGTGTATTTGCAATAGTTATATGATTCAAGTATTTTATCGGTTTTTAAATAAAATGAATATTCTCGTGTTGCTACTTTAAGACCATTTCCATTCTTTGGAAGGTGTTTCTGCTGTAAAGTTAAGTGGTTTTATCTGCCTTATCCATATTTTACAGTTGTAAAATTACAATGCGTTTTTGAAGACTGTTTAGAGTACCTTTCTTATATGCTTGTGAACACCAGCAGAACTCAAATTCATGGTAACTGGCCGTGGTGCTGAAAGGTTCAGGCTTGGGGGTTTTTTGCTTAGTTTTTTCCTTTACCTCCGTTTGTTGAAGCATATAATGTAGAACTTCTACGTCCTTCCAGTCTCTCAATACGTTTAGAATTTAAAAGTCTCGTATTGGTTCATATTAATATATTTCACGTTTCTCTCTATTATTCCGTTAAGAGGCACACCTAAGTTTGTGCTAATTCAATATCTAATCCTTTTCATTTTATTTTATTTTATTTTGTTTATTATTATTATTATTATTATATTTTTACTTTTAGAATTTGTTTATGGGAAATCATGCAATCATAGCTAATTTTTTAGATAATTTTATTTTGATTGACAATCGCAGCGGCAGTATTTTAATTATTATTGCAATGTGGAATAATTCTAAAACGTGTCTCGTAGTGTAGAAAAAAACTGCTTCTATTTGGTCATTATGTAGTTCATCAGACTGGACTCTTAGTGCCGCTGTTGGTCAATATGTCAGTTTAGAGAGCAAATCTGCTGCAGTTCCACCCCCATCATCACCATATTATTAGAGAGAGACAGAAGCTGAGAGCACAGTCTGAGGAGGAGAGAGAAGACTGATCACGGAGATACTGTGTTTATAATCCTTTTTCTGGAATTACAGACACTTTTGTTAGTTCTTATAGCTTTGGATATATATATACATCATTTCCTCCAGCTTCTTGGATTGATTTATTTGTTTTCTGCTTGAATCTTCATTCCGTGGTCTTCTGCAAAATGTCGGACAGAACAATGGCGCGGCAAGTATTGCTGCTTATTTGGTTTCTCTCTCTCAGTTCTGCTCTCGGGCAGGTCAGTTACTCCATTCCTGAGGAAATGGCGAAAGGCTCTTTAGTCGGGAGCATAGCGCAGGATTTGGGTTTAGATTTAAAGAGACTGAAATCGGGTAAAGCGCGTATTTATACTGGAGACAGCGCTGAATACATCGAGCTGAATAAAGAAAGAGGAGTCCTCCTTATCAAAGAGAGAATAGACCGAGAGGTGCTATGCGGACAGACAACGCCTTGCGCGCTACATTTTCAGATTATTCTTGAAAGCCCAATGGAGTTTTACAGTGTTAATGTTGAGGTGCTTGATATAAATGACAACGCACCATTTTTTGAAAAAAATGAAATTATATTTAGAATTAGCGAATCTGCATCAATTGGTACCAAATTTACAATAGAACCTGCTAGAGATCTTGACGTTGGAATTAATGGTTTGCAGACCTACACATTAAAACCGACAGATAATTTTGCCTTGAAATTTAAGAGCCAGCCAGTGGGAGGACAAAATGTCGAAATGATTTTACAAAAGCCTCTAGATCGTGAGAAGCAGGATGACATGTCTTTAACGTTAACAGCTATTGACGGGGGAGATCCACAAATGTCTGGTAATATTCAGATAAATATTATTGTTTTAGATGCGAACGATAACGCTCCTGTTTTCACACAGTCAGTTTATAAAACTGCTGTAACAGAAAATTCACCAAAAGGAACAATTGTGACGACAGTTAGTGCGTCGGATCCAGATCAAGGAGTAAACGGTGAAATAGTCTATTCAATAACAAACACGCTAGATAAAGTTCGAGACATATTTGAAATCAACGAGACTGATGGCAAAGTACAGTTGATCGGTCTAGTTGATTATGAACAAGCTCGGCACTTTGAGATTCGCGTTCAAGCGAGTGATCATGGAGGCTTTACTGATTCGTGTAAGATCATAGTTGATGCAATTGATATCAATGATAATAAACCAGTGATCAATATTATGTCCAAAACAAACGTGATAGCTGAAAATTCCGCGTCTGAGACGGTGGTAACGATGATAAATGTTCAGGATCTTGATTCGGGAGAAAACGGGAAAGTTCAATGTTCAGTTAATGAGAACATTCCTTTCACCTTGAAGTCGTCAAATGCTAATTTCTTCAGTTTAGTCACAGATAAGTGCTCTCGGAGTTCACTGACTTTACGCACGACAAGGACTACAACGACAACCTGACTTTCTATCTGGTCTTGGCCTTGGCTGTAGTTTCGTTTCTCTTTATCGTGTCTATCATTGCCATACTGTCAGTCAAATGCTACAGATGGAGACGCGAGCGGATGTTTTACAAATCTGGAGCGAATCTTCCAGTTATTCCGTATTATCCGCCTCTTTACGCAGACGTAGGGGGCACAGGAACTTTACAGCACGTGTACAATTATGAGGTTTGCAGAACCACTGACTCCAGAAAGAGTGATCTGAAATACGACAGACCTTGCAGTGAAAGCATCATTAGTCTGGACAGCAGTGGAGCACAAACACTCACGCATTCGCAAAGAGGGAAACTGATCAGTGATGAATTTGATGATCAGGTGAGATTTAATTTAACTAATTTATGCAGTATTTAAAACGTTGGCTGTCATGGTTTGTCATTTTTGCTTCGACTGTTGAACCGATTACTTTTCTGAAGCGAATCATTTCTGCAATTCTAACAAACAGACATTTTTTAACTTTTAGAATGGTTTGGTCATTTTGTGTAATTTTCTTTTCAGCAGTTCGGTTACTCAGGTCATTATTCTGTATTTTTATTCGTACATTTTTCACTTAGATACGTCAAGTAGAATTAGATTTTTCTATATTTTATTTAGTTTTTTCGAACTATTATTATTATTATTACCTATGTATTTAATAATTAGTGTCATTATTTATTTTTTCCCTCAAGTGTCATTGTCATGAAAAAAGGAACTTCAGTTTCCCTGACCATGGTCCTGAAATACAGCAAAGCGGTCATTTTCTCTTATGTATTCTTATGCATCTCTTTACCTTAGTCTTTTTTAGTTTTTTTTTCAGCAGCTGATCGGTCTGTCTTCCTGTTAATATTTAAACTATGCACTTTTTCATTAGTTTTCGGATACTTTGTATGTGATTAATTGTATTTTATATATTTCTCCTTGACCTCTCTGATCAACAAACTCATAGATAAGACCTGATCAAAACACTGAGGGAACAATACATTTATTTGTTTCAATACTTTTCTAAAATCTTATTTACACAAACCCGTACAATTGTTTTATATAATAGAAATTTGTATTACGATTGACATTTGCTAGTTTTATCTTTCATGACTTTTTGTAAATTGCTTTTCTCAGATATGTCTGTCACTAAGTTAAAGGTTTATCATTTTTACGTTTTCTGTAGTTCATCAGACTGGACTCATAGTGCCGCTGTTGGTCAATATGTCAGTTTAGAGAGCAGATCTGCTGCAGTTCCACCCCCATCATCACCATATTATTCGAGAGAGACAGAAGCTGAGAGCACAGTCTGAGGAGGAGAGAGAAGACAAATCACAGAGGCCATACTGTCAGTCAAATGCTACAGATGGAGACGCGAGCGGATGTTTTACAAATCTGGAGCGAATCTTCCAGTTATTCCGTATTATCCGCCTCTTTACGCAGACGTAGGGGGCACAGGAACTTTACAGCACGTGTACAATTATGAGGTTTGCAGAACCACTGACTCCAGAAAGAGTGATCTGAAATACGACAGACCTTGCAGTGAAAGCATCATTAGTCTGGACAGCAGTGGAGCACAAACACTCACGCATTCGCAAAGAGGGAAACTGATCAGTGATGAATTTGATGATCAGGTGAGATTTAATTTAACTAATTTATGCAGTATTTAAAACGTTGGCTGTCATGGTTTGTCATTTTTGCTTCGACTGTTGAACCGATTACTTTTCTGAAGCGAATCATTTCTGCAATTCTAACAAACAGACATTTTTTAACTTTTAGAATGGTTTGGTCATTTTGTGTAATTTTCTTTTCAGCAGTTCGGTTACTCAGGTCATTATTCTGTATTTTTATTCGTACATTTTTCACTTAGATACGTCAAGTAGAATTAGATTTTTCTATATTTTATTTAGTTTTTTCGAACTATTATTATTATTATTACCTATGTATTTAATAATTAGTGTCATTATTTATTTTTTCCCTCAAGTGTCATTGTCATGAAAAAAGGAACTTCAGTTTCCCTGACCATGGTCCTGAAATACAGCAAAGCGGTCATTTTCTCTTATGTATTCTTATGCATCTCTTTACCTTAGTCTTTTTTAGTTTTTTTTTCAGCAGCTGATCGGTCTGTCTTCCTGTTAATATTTAAACTATGCACTTTTTCATTAGTTTTCGGATACTTTGTATGTGATTAATTGTATTTTATATATTTCTCCTTGACCTCTCTGATCAACAAACTCATAGATAAGACCTGATCAAAACACTGAGGGAACAATACATTTATTTGTTTCAATACTTTTCTAAAATCTTATTTACACAAACCCGTACAATTGTTTTATATAATAGAAATTTGTATTACGATTGACATTTGCTAGTTTTATCTTTCATGACTTTTTGTAAATTGCTTTTCTCAGATATGTCTGTCACTAAGTTAAAGGTTTATCATTTTTACGTTTTCTGTAGTTCATCAGACTGGACTCATAGTGCCGCTGTTGGTCAATATGTCAGTTTAGAGAGCAGATCTGCTGCAGTTCCACCCCCATCATCACCATATTATTCGAGAGAGACAGAAGCTGAGAGCACAGTCTGAGGAGGAGAGAGAAGACAAATCACAGAGATACTGTATTCAATATACTTCTGGAATTACAGACTTTCTTAGTTTTTGTCACTTTGGATTTATAGATGATTTCCTCCAGCTTCTTGGATTGATTTATTTGTTTTCTGCTTCAATCTTCATTCCGTTGTCTTCTGCAAAATGTCGGACAGAACAATGGCGCGGCAAGTACTGCTGTTTATTTGGTTTCTCTCTCTCAGTTCTGCTCTCGGGCAGGTCAGTTACTCCATTCCTGAGGAAATGGCGAAAGGCTCTTTAGTCGGGAGCATAGCGCAGGATTTGGGTTTAGATTTAAAGAGACTGAGATCGGGTAAAGCGCGTATTTATACTGGAGACAGCGCTGAATACATCGAGCTGAATAAAGAAAGAGGAGTCCTCCTTATCAAAGAGAGAATAGACCGAGAGACGCTATGCGGACAGACAACGCCTTGCGCGCTACATTTTCAGATTATTCTTGAAAACCCGATGCAACTATACAGAGTAAGTGAGATTTAATTTAACTAATTTATGCAGTATTTAAAACGTTGGCTGTCATGGTTTGTCATTTTTGCTTCGACTGTTGAACCGATTACTTTTCTGAAGCGAATCATTTCTGCAATTCTAACAAACAGACATTTTTTAACTTTTAGAATGGTTTGGTCATTTTGTGTAATTTTCTTTTCAGCAGTTCGGTTACTCAGGTCATTATTCTGTATTTTTATTCGTACATTTTTCACTTAGATACGTCAAGTAGAATTAGATTTTTCTATATTTTATTTAGTTTTTTCGAACTATTATTATTATTATTACCTATGTATTTAATAATTAGTGTCATTATTTATTTTTTCCCTCAAGTGTCATTGTCATGAAAAAAGGAACTTCAGTTTCCCTGACCATGGTCCTGAAATACAGCAAAGCGGTCATTTTCTCTTATGTATTCTTATGCATCTCTTTACCTTAGTCTTTTTTAGTTTTTTTTTCAGCAGCTGATCGGTCTGTCTTCCTGTTAATATTTAAACTATGCACTTTTTCATTAGTTTTCGGATACTTTGTATGTGATTAATTGTATTTTATATATTTCTCCTTGACCTCTCTGATCAACAAACTCATAGATAAGACCTGATCAAAACACTGAGGGAACAATACATTTATTTGTTTCAATACTTTTCTAAAATCTTATTTACACAAACCCGTACAATTGTTTTATATAATAGAAATTTGTATTACGATTGACATTTGCTAGTTTTATCTTTCATGACTTTTTGTAAATTGCTTTTCTCAGATATGTCTGTCACTAAGTTAAAGGTTTATAATTTTTACGTTTTCTGTAGTTCATCAGACTGGACTCATAGTGCCGCTGTTGGTCAATATGTCAGTTTAGAGAGCAGATCTGCTGCAGTTCCACCCCCATCATCACCATATTATTCGAGAGAGACAGAAGCTGAGAGCACAGTCTGAGGAGGAGAGAGAAGACAAATCACAGAGATACTGTATTCAATATACTTCTGGAATTACAGACTTTCTTAGTTTTTGTCACTTTGGATTTATAGATGATTTCCTCCAGCTTCTTGGATTGATTTATTTGTTTTCTGCTTCAATCTTCATTCCGTTGTCTTCTGCAAAATGTCGGACAGAACAATGGCGCGGCAAGTACTGCTGTTTATTTGGTTTCTCTCTCTCAGTTCTGCTCTCGGGCAGGTCAGTTACTCCATTCCTGAGGAAATGGCGAAAGGCTCTTTAGTCGGGAGCATAGCGCAGGATTTGGGTTTAGATTTAAAGAGACTGAGATCGGGTAAAGCGCGTATTTATACTGGAGACAGCGCTGAATACATCGAGCTGAATAAAGAAAGAGGAGTCCTCCTTATCAAAGAGAGAATAGACCGAGAGACGCTATGCGGACAGACAACGCCTTGCGCGCTACATTTTCAGATTATTCTTGAAAACCCGATGCAACTATACAGAGTAACAGTTGAGATACAAGACATTAATGATAACGCCCCTATTTTCAGCCTCGATGAAATGAAATTTGAAATTAGCGAAATGGCTCTGTCCGGAGCTAAATTCGATTTGGAGACTGCAGTTGACACCGACGTGGGTTTGAATGGTCTTCAAAAGTACATACTGAAACCAAGTGACAATTTTATTATAAAAACTCAAAGCTTACCAGATGGTAGTAAATCTGTGGAAATGGTTTTACAGAAACCACCGTGTCTATCATCGCCATTCTGTCAGTCAAATGCTACAGATGGAGACGCGAGCGGATGTTTTACAAATCTGGAGCGAATCTTCCAGTTATTCCGTATTATCCGCCTCTTTACGCAGACGTAGGGGGCACAGGAACTTTACAGCACGTGTACAATTATGAGGTTTGCAGAACCACTGACTCCAGAAAGAGTGATCTGAAATACGACAGACCTTGCAGTGAAAGCATCATTAGTCTGGACAGCAGTGGAGCACAGACACTCACGCATGCGCAAAGAGGGAAACTGATCAGTGATGAATTTGATGATCAGGTGAGATTTTTTTAAACTAATTTATGCCGTTTTTAAAACGTTGGTTGTCATGATTTGTCATTTTTGCTTCAACTGTTGAACTGATTACTTTTCTGAAGTGAATCTTTTCTGCAATTCTAACAAACAGACATTTTTTAACTTTTAGAATGGTTAGGTCATTTTGTGTAGTTTTCTTTTCTGCAGTTCTGTTACTCGGGTCATTATTCAGTATTTTTATTCATACATTTTTCCCTTTGATACGTCAAGTAGAATTAGATTTTCTATATTTTCTTTCACTTTTTCGAACTATTATTATTATTATTATCATCACTATTATTATCATTATTATTGCCTATTTATTTAATAATTAGTGTCATTGTTTTGTTTTTTTCCCCCTAAAGTGTCATTGTCATGAAAAAAGGAACTTCAGTTTCCCTGACCATGGTCCTGAAATACAGCAAAGCGGTCATTTTCCCTTATGCATTCTGATGCATCTCTTTACCTTAGTCTTTTTGAGGGTTTTTTTTCAGCAGCTGATCGGTCTGTCTTCCTGTTCATATTTAAACTATGCACTCTTTCATTAGTTTTCGGATACTTTGTATGTGATTAATTGTATTTTAGATACTTCTCCCTGACCTCTCTGATCAACAAACTCATAGATAAGACCTGATCAAAACACTGAGGGAACAATACATTTATTTGTTTTCATATTTTTCTAAAATATTATTTACACAAACTCGTACAATTGTTTTATATAATAGAAATTTGTACTACGATTGACATTTGCTAGTTTTATTTTTCATGACTTTTTTTAAATTGCTTTTCTCAGATATGTCTGTCACTAAGTTAAAGGTTTATCATTTTTGCGTTTTCTGTAGTTCATCAGACGGGACTCATAGTGCCGCTGTTGGTCAATATGTCAGTTTAGAGAGCAGATGTGCTGCAGTTCCACCCCCATCATCACCATATTATTAGAGAGAGACAGAAGCTGAGAGCACAGTCTGAGGAGGAGAGAGAAGACAAATCACAGAGATACTGTATTCAGTATACTTCTGGAATTACAGACTTTCTTAGTTTTTGTCACTTTGGATTTATACAAATGCTACAGATGGAGACGCGAGCGGATGTTTTACAAATCTGGAGTGAATCTTCCAGTTATTCCTTATTATCCGCCTCTTTACGCAGACATAGGGGGCACAGGAACTACACAGCACGTGTACAATTATGAGGTTTGCAGAACCACTGACTCCAGAAAGAGTGATCTGAAATACGGCAGACCCTGCAGTGAGAGCATCATTAGTCTGGACAGCAGCGGAACACAAACGCTCACACATGCGCAAAGGGAGACACTGAACTTTGATGATTCTGATAAGGTGAGGTTTACTGTTTTTGTATAGTAGGTGTTACATGTTTCTTCTCCCCCCTCTTTTCCTTTAGATAAATCGTTTTAGCAGATTTACTGTAGATACTTTTCTTTTTCAGGAAATTCATACCCATATTTATGAAAACAGTAACGGTTTTATGTTTTTGTTTGCTATTATTATCATTATTGTTATTGTTGTTGTTGTTATTCAACATCTCTCAGCGAGAATAAGCAACCAGCATTCTGAAATGAATATGCTGCATTCGTTTCGCTGTCCAAGGTGCTGAATCAATAGCTGGTGCCTTCGTTTCATCTTTCCTCTCCGCGAACATGAGCTCTGGCATACCAAATACTATTTATTAATTACATGCTGATGTCCTGTAGTGTAAAAATTGTATTGTTGAATTCGCATTGCTTTTGCCTGGCAATAGATAATTTTACCCTTTTTATTAAATACAGGACTTTTTAATTATTCTCAAACCAACACTTTGTGATTGTTGAACAGATTTAGGTACAGTTACATATATTGTCAAATTTAGATTGTTTTATTATTATTATTACTACACAAATAGAAATTCAGGTTTTAATTTTGTTTTTGATTATTCTATCTCGCTGCGTATATATCTTTTGAGTGTGTGCATTTTATATATAATTTAGATGTATTTTTGTAGTAACTCAGGATGGTCTCAGAGTGCCGCTATTTGTTAGGGGGATGAGACTGAGAGCGAATAATTCCAGTAATACCGCCCTCTCTAACTGCACTTAAGGAGGAGACTGAGGCGTCTGCATAATGCACATGCGGGGGCATAACACAGAGGACATCGACGCTGTAATAAATCGTAACCTATGGATCCATGTTTAGACGTTGTCCTAGAAATTTTCCACTAGTTTTGGATTTATTCTATTTGGAACCTGAACACACTGAGACTCGGAACTGGATACACGGTGATTTCGTTTATTTTCTCTTAAGCAAAATGTCGGAGAGAACAATGGCGCGGCAAGTACTGCTGTTTATTTGGTTTCTCTCTCTCAGTTCTGCTCTCGGGCAGGTCAGTTACTCCATTCCTGAGGAAATGGCGAAAGGCTCTTTAGTCGGGAGCATAGCGCAGGATTTGGGTTTAGACTTAAAGAGACTGAAATCGGGTAAAGCGCGTATTTATACTGGAGACAGCGCTGAATACATCGAGCTGAATAAAGAAAGAGGAGTCCTCCTTATCAAAGAGAGAATAGACCGAGAGGCGCTATGCGGACAGACAACGCCTTGCGCGCTACATTTACAGATTATTCTCGATAATCCTATGGAACTGTTTAGGGTAACTGTCGAAATTACAGACATAAATGACAATTCTCCTATTTTTAAAAGAAATGAGAGACGATTTGAGATAAGCGAATCAGCAGTTGTAGGATCAAAATTCATGCTGGAGAAAGCAATAGATGCAGACATTGGCGCAAATGACCTACAAAGCTATTTTCTACAACCTACTGATCATTTTAATTTAAAACTTCATGGTCAGAGTGATGGGAGTAAAAAGGTTGAAATGATTCTACAAAAGCCTTTAGACCGAGAAAAACAAGAAAACATGTCTCTGATATTAACCGCAATAGATGGTGGAGAACCACCGAAATCAGGAACAGTTCAGATTTATGTTACAGTGCTTGATATAAACGATAATGCTCCAGTTTTTACTAAGCCTATATATAGGGCGATAATTACAGAAAACTCCCAGAGTGGCACGCCACTCATCACTGTTAGAGCTTCTGATTCAGATAAAGGGACAAATGGAGATGTCAGTTATTTAATTGCAAACAGCGACAGTGTATCTGATATTTTTCATATTGATGAAAATGGATTGGTGACGTTAGTCGGAAAAATTGACTTCGAAACATCTAAACATTACCAAATTGATATAGAAGCAGTAGATAAAGGTGGACTGTCTGATTCTAGCAAAATAATGGTCGACGTGATTGATATAAATGATAACGCGCCCGTAATCACAGTTATGTCAAAATCTAATGCAATACCCGAGGACTCTCTACAGAGTACTGTGACTGCCATTATCAACGTTAACGATCCGGATTCTGAAAGTAATGGACAAGTTCGTTGCAGTGTAAATGAAAACATTCCTTTTACAATCAAATCAACTTCTAATGGATTTTATAGTATTGTGGCAGACAGTGATTTAGACCGTGAGAGAGAGTCTGAGTATAACATCAGTGTGACGTGCGCTGATGAGGGCGTGCCCTCTCTCTCCAGCAGCGTCACTCTCTCCTTACAGATATCAGATGTGAATGATAACGCGCCTGTCTTTGACAAGAGCTCATATGAGGCCTCTGTTCAAGAAAACAACACACCGGGGCGCTGTTTGAAGTGGGCTTACAGAATGGAGAAATAAGAACTGTACGTCAAGTGACAGATAAAGATGCTGTGAAACAAAGACTCACTGTTGTAGTGGAGGACAACGGGAAGCCCTCTCGATCAGCTACAGTCAATGTTAACGTGGCGGTGGCGGACAGCTTCCCTGAAGTGCTCTCGGAGTTCACTGACTTTACGCACGACAAGGACTACAACGACAACCTGACTTTCTATTTGGTCTTGGCCTTGGCTGTGGTTTCGTTTCTCTTTATCGTGTCTATCATTGCCATACTGTCAGTTAAATGCTACAGATGGAGACGCGAGCGGATGTTTTACAAATCTGGAGCGAATCTTCCCGTTATTCCGTATTATCCACCTCTTTACGCAGACGTAGGGGGCACAGGAACTTTACAGCACGTGTACAATTATGAGGTTTGCAGAACCACTGACTCCAGAAAGAGTGATCTGAAATACGGCAGACCTTGTAGTGAAAGCATAATTAGTCTGGACAGCAGCGGAACACAGACACTCACGCATGCGCAAAGGGAGAGACTGAACTATGATGATTGTGAGGATCAGGTGAGAATTATATTATAGCCAATTTTTTTAATTATTTAGTGTTTCTCATATTTGTTGTGTTTATTTTCGTTTTAATGTTGACAAGGTCGTGCCATGACTGCTATACCATGAAATCTTTAAATATATTAATCGTTACATAATTTTTTTCTATAGTGTGTATTGAACGGTTATTTTTCAATGCTTGACTTCCCCTGTTTGTGTTGGTGTGCACTGTAAGAAATTGTTTCATGTAACAATTTGTAAGTAGAAATAAAGACAGAAAGAAAGAAAGAAAGAAAGAAAGAAAGAAAGAAAGAAAGAAAGAAAGAAAGAAAAAGCGAAATGGCACCCTGTGGTTGTCAGGTACGAGTTTTCTTATCAAGTAATTTTTGTCACGCCTAAAATTATTCAGAGCTGCAAACTGCTCTGTAATTTAGACAGAATGTCGCATACAAAATCTGCCAGATTTAGTTCATGTTTTCAACAACAGTGAAAGATTCTTTAAATTAGCGCCGACCCTTATGTTCTACAAACAGCTTTGAAGAAAGTAGTGTAACCAGACAATTCGTTTATTTTACGTAAAATTTGCTCTCATCCAAGTGCAATTTGCACCAACTTTTTAATAGAATTATCTCTAATAACAAAGTATAATATGCAGTTGCACTGTGTTTTTGAATTGTGCTTTTTTTGATAGCGTTTAGGCTATACAGTAATTGCTAGTTGGATTTACAATTTTTTTTACAATAGTTGTGTGTGTGTGTGTGTGTGTGTGTGTGTGCGCGCGCACGAATGAGTCCCATTGCATTCGTTTCATAAAGGGATATTTTATTTTTTTGTCTGTTGTTTTTTGACGTTTCCATTTATCATGTTTAAGGTCCTAGGTTAAAAACTTTATTTTTTATATTTGAGCAAAAATAATTTTATTTATTTATTTATTTTTGTATTTATGTTTAACAAAGTTTTAATGTAATATTTGTCTGATGCACTAAGTGCCGCTGTCGGTCAGTGTTTCTGTGTAACAGACACTAGTTTTTAGATCCGCCTCCACTTTCTGACATCACATTCTGCAGAATCTCTTTCATTTAGACGGTCTCCTCTTTACATTAAAGCATCTAGAGATTCGCTTCCATACGTTTTCGGTTGAAGATTGATGTTTTTCAAACTTTGGGAACCTTCCGTTCTTCGACTTTTCTTCTGTAGTGAAATAGAAAATTTGGATTATGTGGGTGCTTTGTTTTTACGCCCAAAGAGGCGCATCTTCGACGCGGATTTCATCATGGCTAATGCAGCCTCTCGTGCTGTGCGTCTTTGTCATGACCGTTGCGCGCGGGCAGGTCCGTTATTCTGTTCCAGAGGAGATGACAAAGGGCTCGCTGGTGGGAAATATCGTTCAGGATCTCGGTTTGGATGTAAAGAGGCTGAAATCTGGTCGAGCGCGGATCTTTACGGAGGACAGTCGTGAGTACATCGGTCTGAATGTGGATAAAGGGACTCTGCTAGTGAAAGAGAGGATAGATAGAGAGGAGCTGTGCGCCCAAGTGTCTCCCTGCTCCTTACATTTTCAAGTCATTCTAGAAAACCCCATGGAGCTGCATAGAATCGATGTAGAAATATTAGATATAAATGATCATGCTCCTGTTTTCTTAAAAAAAGAAATAAACGTCCAAATTAGCGAATTAGCGATACCTGGAGCCAGATACTCAATCGATAGCGCTAAAGATCCAGACGTAGGTTTAAATTCACTTCAGACGTATAAATTAAATCCGAACGACCATTTTGTGCTCAAAACCTTGTCTCACACTGACGGTACTAAATATGTCGAAATGGTCTTACAGACTCCATTAGACAGAGAAAAACAGGAGGAGTATAATCTGATTTTAACCGCGTTTGACGGTGGATCCCCCCAGAAAACGGGAACCTTAAAAATTAACATTATTGTCTTGGATGCAAATGACAACGCGCCTGTTTTTAGTCAGTCTGTATATACAGCACTTGTAGCTGAAAATGCGTCAATGGGATCATTAGTCTTAAAGGTTAGTGCAACTGACGCAGATCAAGGAACAAATAAACAAGTTTCCTATTCATTCTCGGAAAGCAGTGACAGTATCTTAGATACATTCAATATTGATCTAACAAATGGTGATATTACAGTTATTGGCCCTCTCGACTTTGAAAAGTCAAAGAAATACGAGCTGAATGTGGTGGCGACAGACATTGGTGGTTTAACAGATACTGCTAAAGTGATGGTGGAAATTACAGATGTTAATGACAATGCCCCTGTAATTAATGTAATATCTTTCTCAAACCCTTTGCCAGAAAATTCAGCTCCTGAGACTGTAATAGCGATGCTGAATGTCAAAGATTTAGATTCGGGGAAAAATGGACAGGTCAGATGTTTAATTAATCCTAGTTTACCATTTCAAATCAGACAATCATCCTCAAATTTTTATAGTCTGATTACTGATCAGCTTTTAGACCGTGAAAAAATGTCTGAGTATAACATCACGACTGACTTTACGCACGACAAGGACTACAATGACAACCTGACTTTCTATCTGGTCTTGGCCTTGGCTGTAGTTTCGTTTCTCTTTATCGTGTCTATCATCGCCATTCTGTCAGTCAAATGCTACAGATGGAGACGCGAGCGGATGTTTTACAAAGCTGGAGCGAATCTTCCAGTTATTCCGTATTATCCACCTCTTTACGCAGACGTAGGGGGCACAGGAACTTTACAGCACGTGTACAATTATGAGGTTTGCAGAACCACTGACTCCAGAAAGAGTGATCTGAAATACGGCAGACCTTGCAGTGAAAGCATCATTAGTCTGGACAGCAGTGGAACACAGACACTCACGCATGCGCAAAGAGCAAAACTGAATAATGAAGATTCTTTTGATCAGGTGAGCTCGAGTGAATGATCCTGAATGACTTTTTGGTGTCCATTTATTATTACTGGCTGCATCTGTTTTATGGTTGTATACTGTACTTATTCTATTTTTTTATTTATAATGAAAGAAATATCAGTTGTTTAATAGTTAATAGTAGTTGTAATATACTTTACAGATAACATTTTGCAGACTACATTTTTTAATACTTTATCAAAACTATTACCTTTCAATGTTTTATAGAAAATTAGATACAGACATGGACTTTTTTGTTATATATTTTTCATTTTCACTCAGTCAAGTTACAGTTTTTTTAGTGTATGCATGACTGAGTCGCAATTAATCGTACCTGTATTGCTGAAAGGCTACATTGTAGTTTCTGCTTTGCTTCTGACCATTTTCTTTTCCTCATATTCTAGGTGTTCTTTTCAAAACACAATTTTATTTATAGTTCAGCAAAATTCTGCCTTAACGCAAAATAAATACTACTTTGGTCGCAGTTCATTGTCTCTTTAAAAGTATTTTTTTAGTGTAATGTTTCTCTGATGCACTAAGTGCCGCTGTTGGTCAGTATGTTCGGGCTTTAATCACTCATTTTTAGATCCTCCTCTACTTTCTGACATCACATTCTGCAGAATATCTCTTTCATTCAGACGATCTCCTCTTTACACTAAAGCACCCAGACATTCACTGACTTGTATTTTCGGATTAACTTTGATTTTTGTTTTCACATTTTCTGAATCATCAGTTTTGAATATTTTCTTCTGGAATAGAAGACTTGGACTATGTCAGTTCTTTGTTGTTTTTACGCCCAAAGAGGCGCATCTTCGACGCGGATTTCATCATGGCTAATGCAGCCTCTCGTGCTGTGCTTCTTTGTCATGGCCGTTGCGCGCGGGCAGGTCCGTTATTCTGTTCCAGAGGAGATGACAAAGGGCTCGCTGGTGGGAAATATTGTTCAGGATCTCGGTTTGGATGTAAAGAGGCTGAAATCTGGTCGAGCGCGGATCTTTACGGAGGACAGTCGTGAGTACATCGGTCTGAATGTGGATAAAGGGACTCTGGTAGTGAAAGAGAGGATAGACAGAGAGGAGCTGTGCGCCCAAGTGTCTCCCTGCTCCTTACATTTTCAGATCATTCTAGAAAACCCCATGGAGCTGCATATAATCGATGTAGAAATAGTAGATATCAATGATCATGCTCCTGTTTTCGCTAGAAAGGAAATTGATTTTCAAATAAGTGAATTGGCACTTCCCGGGGCTCGATTTTCATTAGACAGCGCCCAGGATCCGGACACTGGCACTAACGCGCTTAAGTCATATATGTTAAATCCAACAGATAATTTTGATTTAAAGGTTCTATCACGAAACGATGGCTCGAAATACGTCGAAATGGTTCTTCAAGTGCCTTTAGACAGGGAGACTCAGGAGGAGCACAAATTAACCCTTACAGCCTTCGATGGCGGCAGTCCTCAGAAAACTGGCACCGTTAAGATAAGTGTTACGGTCATAGACGCAAACGATAATGCTCCAGTTTTCAGTCTGCCTGTTTACCGTGTTTCTTTATTAGAGAATTCGCCAAATGGTGCTGTGGTAATCAAGGTAAGCTCCACTGATAATGACCAAGGCGCAAACGGTGAGATTGCATATTCCTTTTCACGCAGTTCAGGAAAAGCACTTGATTTATTCCATATTGACACAAAAACAGGTGAAATTACCGTAAAAGGGGATTTAGATTACGAGAGGGCAAAGCAGTTTGAGTTAAACATAGATGCTACGGACAAAGGTGGCTTAACTGATTCTAGTAAAGTGGAAATCGACATTATAGATGTAAATGACAACCCCCCTGTAATAAGCGTGATTTCATTTTCTAACCCAATACCCGAAGATGCCGCGCCAGAAACTGTTATAGCGATGCTGAATGTCAAAGATGTGGATTCAGGGAAAAACGGGCAGGTTAAATGTTCTATTGCTACAGATTTGCCGTTCAAAGTGAAGTCATCTGCGCAGAATTTCTACAGTTTGATCACTGATCAAATTTTAGACCGTGAAAAAATGTCTGAATATAATATCACAATAACAGCTATTGATGAGGGCTCGCCTTCTTTCTCTACTAATAAAACACTGACTCTGAAAATCTCTGATGTCAATGACAACGCCCCTGTGTTTCAGCGTCAGTCATACACCGCATATCTGATGGAAAATAATTCACCCGGAGTCTCTGTCTTGCGCAAAGAGCAAAACTGAATAATGAGGATTCTTATGATCAGGTGAGCTGATGTGAATGGTTAGGAATGTGACTTTTTGGTGTTCATTTATTTATTCCCGTTCTGGCTTTATACTGTGCACTGCATTTTTTTTTTTTTTTTTTTTTTTTTTAGATTTATAATTTTTAAATTAAGAAGCTGTAGTTGAAATGTACTCTACCGATAGCATTTTCGAGACTATTTTTCACACTTGTTAATTTCAAAACCTTAACTTTTAAATGTTATATAGGAAATTGCATGCAGCCACAGTATTCTTTTATTTTCGTAATTGCACTAAGAGATTTTTATTCTGCGTATGAGAGTCTCATTGAATCGTGCCTGTATAACTAGGGCTTTCCTTTTATTCTTAGATGTTCGGTTCAGAACATAACCTTATTAATGTGTCAGCAAAAGTCCTCGTTAATGTAAAGTATATACTACTTTGGTCGCAATTCATGACATTTTCTTTATTGCGCTTTAACAGCATTTTTAGTGTAATATTTCTCTGATGCACTAAGTGCCGCTGTTGGTAAGTATGTTCGGGCTTTAAGCATTCGTTTTTAGATCCTCCTCTACTTTCTGACATCACATTCTGCAGAATCTTTCTTTCATTCAGACGATCTCTGTTTAACACTAATGCATCGATACATTCGCTGCCTTGTTTTCTCGGATGAATTTTGATATTTTTCAATCTCTCTTTATATTTTGTTCTTGGTCTTTTCTTTCTTAAGTGGAATAGAAGATTTGGATTATGTCGGTTCTTTGTTGTTTTTATTCCCAAAGAAGCGCATCTTCGACGCGGATTTCATCATGGCTAATGCAGCCTCTCGTGCTGTGCGTCTTTGTCATGACCGTTGCGCGCGGGCAGGTCCGTTATTCTGTTCCAGAAGAGATGACAAAGGGCTCGCTGGTGGGAAATATTGTTCAGGATCTCGGTTTGGATGTTAAGAGACTGAAATCTGGTCGAGCGCGGATCTTTACGGAGGACAGTCGTGAGTACATCGGTCTGAATGTGGATAAAGGGACTCTGCTAGTGAAAGAGAGGATAGATAGAGAGGAGCTGTGTGCCCAAGTATCTCCCTGCTCCTTGCATTTTCAGATCATTCTAGAAAATCCAATTGAGCTCCATAGAATCGATGTGGAAATATTAGATATCAATGATCATGCTCCAGTTTTTGTTAGAAAGGAAATAAGCTTTCAAATTAGTGAGCTGGCTGTTCCTGGAGCCAAATTTTCTTTAGATAATGCGCAAGATTCTGATGTGGGTTTAAATACCCTTCAGAAATACACACTCAATCCGACTCATCATTTTTCTCTGAAAGAACAGATGGGTAATGATGGATTGAAATATGTTGAAATGATTCTACAAAAAACACTAGACAGAGAAACTCAAGAGGAGCATAAATTAATATTGACGGCGTTTGATGGCGGCAGTCCTCAGAAATCAGGCACTATTAAAATAAGTGTTCTTGTAATCGACGCAAATGACAATGCTCCTGTGTTTAGTCTCCCCGTGTATAGAGTTTCCTTATTAGAGAATTCAGCAAAGGGCACTGATGTTGTGAGCGTGACTGCAACTGATAAAGACAAAGGCACGAATGCTGAAATGGCGTATTCCTTCTCACAAACATCAGGAAAGGCTTTAGAACTGTTCAATATAGATTCACAAAGTGGTGACATTATTGTTAACGGTGACCTGGATTTCGAGAAGTCAAAACATTTTCAATTGCATGTTGAAGCAACAGATAAAGGTGGCTTAACAGATTCCAGTAAAGTTATTATCGAATTAATTGACTTTAATGACAATGCACCCATGATAAGCGTAATTTCATTTTCTAACCCAATACCCGAGGACGCAGCGCCAGAGACTGTGATAGCGATGCTGAATGTCAAAGATTTAGATTCAGGGAGAAACGGACAGGTTAAATGTTCTATTGCTCCAAATTTGCCATTCAAAATACAGTCATCCACCTCAAATTTCTATAGTGTGACAACCGATCAATTATTAGACCGTGAAAAAATATCCGAATATAATATCACAATAACAGCTATTGATGAGGGCTCACCCTCTTTCTCTACTAATAAAACACTGACTCTGAAAATCTCTGATGTCAATGACAACGCCCCTGTGTTTCAGCGTCAGTCATACACCGCATATGTGATGGAAAATAATTCACCCGGAGTCTCTGTCTTATCTGTTAAAGCGCATGACAAAGACTCTGGCAATAACGCGCGTATTTCATATTTTCTAGA